CAACGATGTGCGAATTTTGCAGCAGTCGGAACCTATTGCTGACAATTTGTTTAAAGCGTACTATAATAGTTTGGATGGATTCATTTATTCATTCATCTTCCATGTCCGCTTCTCCTTTCGGTTCGCGGAGGCAGACGCGTCACAGTGCTTCCAACGTTCCCGATACTGTGCCAGAGTCTGAGCTTCGTAATCTCTATATTGCGAAATAGAATGTTTTATATTCGGAAGGCATATACACTCGAAATCACTCAGAATGATCACTCGAAAACTTAAGATGTTCATTATCAAAAATTCTTCAAAATTGGCGATCGTTGTCATGTTTGCATTGGTTGGTTGATTGGATGCACTGACTGGATAAAACACAACCTATGCTAAGTACCATCGCCTATTTACTCTGTTATTACAACTCCGTAATATTTGCATCATTTGCATTCGATGATACGTAAATATCTGTAAAACGATATTCCATTCAGAATTATTGCTACGAAGTTAAAATATATGTACTCCAGCAACATTAAGTGATATAAACGATAATCACAAGAGCACCAGACTGTTCAGCGAAACTTGGATGCTGCGCTCATGAATTTAGCTCTCACACAATTGGATGCAGCGGTGGCATGGCGGCAATAAATCAACAAAGTTGGCGGATTTGATACTGAAAGTCGTCTTTCCGCTTCTTCCCAATTAAGTACTGCACGTAGTGTCTGCCATTGTTATGCTACAGAAATCGATGTATCCAGTCCAACATAACTTAATCGTCTGTACCGTCCCGATCTGGAATCCAAAAAATAACTTGTTCATACTAAAAATCAGATTATCCAATTATTTTATCATTCTGAGTAAAATCCTAAATACTTCCTGCATTTAGGGCTGCTGCCATTACCTGGTCGTAAAATCTTAACTTCAGTATATCGTTGATACATCCCTGCCCAAGAAGAAAAAGCGTGAATAGTACCTAATTCTCAACAATTAGCTGCAGGCCTCATAAGTTACACCTGAAAACTTAGAACCATAGGAGCGATGAATAATTCACATTTATGCTTCTGTCCTTTCGTCACTGCTGGTTAATCTGCACGCTAACTCCTGTCGCAGTGACTATCCGATTATCGATCTAAGGTATATTGGTGATCTAACCAACATTGTACCAAATGGAGAGATACAGTGCATGGATGCTTCAAGAATTCAGTTGAAACAATCCGATATCGAATCACTGATCTAGATCACACGCTAAAGATAAATCAGCTGAATACCAATTTTCGATACATATTGCGCTATGCCTCACCAGATGCAGGAAGGCAACATATGTGACAATGGCAGAACTCTGCCTAAAATAAACAACATAAAATATGTTGACGTCTTCGATTCTTAAAATTTAAAATGGTCAGTTCACCTAACGGCTGTTTTTGAGATGACCAGGAAATCGCTTAGTAAGTGCGTCGCTTGATAAACGCCTATATACCAAAAAGAGCAGTGCAGAACTTTGTTTTCGCGTTCATCTTGATTATGCTCAGATAAACCACTCAGAATCTGCAGTGGTATTTACAAACACGAACGAAGCTGAATTAAAACTGATGCATCAGGAATTACATCTAGTGCAATGTGCTAGTGCAATAAGCTTCAAAATTTAACCATATCGGTAATCACTGTCGTGATAAGGCGTACACCGCAACTGCGTGAAAGAAACCTTCGATGATACTAGGCACTCATGAGTGCCTCAGTATCCATATGACTCTCGCAAAGTGCTGATACAAAATATCGAAGCATTCCCACCCAGATAGGACTTAAAAAAGGGTTCAATTAATCATATTTTGCAGAGTTACGAACTTTTCACCAAATTATGCTGAAATATTTAGCCCCCCTCCCTACAGACGTGTTTTAAGCAGTTGATACAATTCGAATTGAAATCTTTTACTGCATTTCGATTCGAAAAAATCTATTGTCAGGCAAGCATGTGATCAGTGACCCTAAAGATAAACTTCAATGAAATCATTTTTTACACAACCCGGAAGAGACCAATTCATTTAACAATTGAGAGGCCTCGAATCATACTCCATTACAAATGAAATACTTCTAGGTTTAGCATCGCCAAGTACAGTAACGCATATCCAAATTAAGCTGGTTCGGTGCAAAAAGGGCATTAATGCCGATTATTCGTCTGCTTTCCGACGGCTTCTTCTCGATTTCTCGGCGCATCAATCTTCCATTCTCATGAAATCATTTTAATCATTTATCATTTTAATGCTATCCAGAATATTCACATGCATTTTTCTGTTTCGAAAAGTATACTAGACAAATGTGATAGGACTATTGCAACGACAATAAGCAAGGGCTCAAGGAGACACCAAGTCAGTAAATAAAAGGGTCGCCAGTCTAGGTGGCAATTATGATTTATGATTATGATTGGCCACCAATCAACATACGATTCTGTTACAGAAAAGATTAACAACTTATAACAAGTTTCCATCCTGCATGTGATACCTAATTATCCTAACCTTCTATGATACAACATGCACATAATTGTATAAAAGTCTATTGTGATTTTTAACTTTTCTCTCACAGCTTTTCGCTATGGATATGGCTAGGCCGTCAATCAGAAGAATCCCTGCTGGTGCTGCTAACAGTGCAAGCAGAAACAGCGTCTCAGTTTCTGAAGTTAATGAAGCATTCGATAGGGTAGAAGGTTTTTCGTCGAATTTTTGTCTTAAATTTGACCGTTTGTTTGTTTAGTTGATAGGCGATATTGAAAAACGGTTGAAGAAGGAATCGGAAGAAATAAAAACTAATATCTTAAGGGCGTTGAGGTTACGTTACGAAGAGATGCGAAAGTTGCCCATTTTGCAGCAGCTTAAAGAATTGTTCGAATCCTCAGATCAACGGGCTGTCCAGCGGGATATCATCATCTATACAGTTATAAATGAGGTCATTGAACGCATGGATAATATGAAGCGCAAGTTTCAACCTTCGGCTGTCAACACCATCGGCTCATTACGACAACAGAGACAGGTGCGGCGGGCGATGCAAAGACTTCAGCGCTACCTTTCGGTAAATTGTGTTGTTATTTTTATTTCTATTTAAAGAATCTGTGGCATTATTTACCGGAACCGATATATGGTTGTTATTTATTTTATTGTTTGGTTTTTTTTTATGATCATCAAAGTCTAAGAATTAGATCAGCTTAGCCAGATTACTGATATTCTTATTTATAAAACCTGAAAGATTGTGAAATGACAGTTGTTAATGAGCGAATTATTAGTAACTGACTCAGTACCGTTTTGACACAGTTGTATTTTTTACGAGGCTGGAGCGGAGTGAGGGGGATTCTTTTTTTCGGTACCGTTTTATGGATAGAGTCCCAATGGTTAGTCTGGAGAAATATAAACAAAACACGTTGGCGTTAAGAAGACAAGCGCATGTTTCACTCAGGGTAAGTTTAATACAGATCTGCGTTCACCTGGACGCACACCTTCGATGCTTTTATAACTGTTGTTGCACACAAACGCTTACTATTTATGCGATTAATATGGTTTTACAGATTCACCACAAGTAGATCGCCATCATGTGATAAATGTAATTCGCATTTTAACTACTCGTTTGTGCAGAACCATTTTATGCAAATAAAAAATGCTTCTTTGTTTTGCTATTTATGGTTTTGTTTTCTTTCCAAAGGTACCGTTTCAAGTGCCCTTGATTTCTAGAAAGTACAGGCGGAGATAAAGAAAGAATCAGAGAAGGAAATTGGATTGGAAGAAGTGGACGAAGACGATCCTAGCAACCCATTGTTACGAATAGAACGGTTAGAGCGAACAGCAATGCTTATTTGGAAGAAAATGAAAAACCTGTCGCCGAAATTTGCTTCTACCGGCAGACATGACGTCGAACAGAAGACCGCGTACAATGACAGCGGCTACTCCGTGATCGACCAGAAGATAACGAAGTTGATCTCAGGTCCTGCGAGGGACAGCAAGTATTCGCATGCGACCAACAGCCGGGTGCTGCACCCTTCGGTCAAATTCGCCATGCCGTCCTTTCACGAGGTGCTGGACGTGGTTCACGCGGAAAATGCGGCTCAGTCTCTCGGAATCGAGGATGAAAAACAGCTAGGTACCTCGCAAATTTTTTTGTTTTTGTGCTTGAGCCATAGTTTTCTTTTAGCCCAGAAAATTCATCGCGACGTGGGCCTGAGGCTCAAGTATAAAGACGTTATGGATCGCAAATTGTTCATGGCCGATTTGGTGAGAGGTAAGTTTGACTCGGTTTTCGAGTTTTGTTTAAAGAAAGTCAAAAATACTCTGCGTGTTTTGACAAGAATGGAAAACTACTTTTTAATACTTTACTCATTTCCATCCAGTCCTAATAAAAAGGATTTTTTCCTGCGTTATATCAATATTGAAAACCAACACAGATGTCTTTCTACTGCTGTGCGCAGTGAACGAATTTATTCAATGGCAGACCACTACTATGTTCGTCACGTCCTGTTTCACCAACTTTGTAAGATGGTTTTTTTTATTGCGGTGGTCTGCATTAATTGAATGTATTACAAAAGTGAGGCGAGTTCTCTTTCCACTGTACTCCTTCAGAGCTTATTGGCAACATGCTTATCTAGTATGTGCAGGTACACTCCCTTTATTAGAATTGGCACTGTTTTAGGAACGGAAGGATTGTCTCCTCGATGCGACTATTTGAATTGTTTCTTTCGCGATGCGCACTGATAATCAGGGAACTGTTTCTTTTGTGGCATGCCCCGTTACTTCCGAATTCTAACATTTCAGCTTGATCTGTTTGTGTGCTGCGGGAAGAGCTTTGTTTTTATTCCTACATTATAGTCATTTAGATAGTTTATGTTTATGTTTTGAGATCAGTATAGAAAATCTCGCCTATAGACAGTTAGGAAACGCCGTGAAAGGGCCGTTTTGCTTAAAAGGGAAGGTTTTCCATCAGCATGTGCTCGCATTATTAACCTGTTGATGTAGAACTCACATAGGCCTGAAAGCTACCCGCAGACTGCAGATTAAACAATAGAAGGTGGTAATTTCTGCGCTGGGAATAACATAAAAAGACAGGAAGACGAATAAGAGCACAAACAACAGTCTGCAGAGTCAGTATCTGAGTGAAGGAGTCAAAATGGCAGTACAGGACGGTGTTTAAGAAGGATCGGCCATGCCGAACCAAAAATACATTGGACTGGGGAAAATTTATGTAATGATATGAAAAAAAAAGTACATGTACTAACCCATAAGAAAATTTTTGCTTCGTTTAAATTCTATTCAAGTAGAAATTATTATACTCACATACCATGCAAAAGGTTATTGATGTTCAATCAAATTGCACACCACCTAATTCTGCACTCGTGGCTGATATCATTATGACATCGCTCGGCCGCAGCTTACGGTTTATTCAAGGTAGATACAGTTAATGGTACTAAACATTTACTGGAAATGTAAGGGAGGCCGGCGTCTCACCGGTGGTTGTGTTGTGCAGACTTAAATGGAAATTTTTAATAATTGCCATGTTGTCATATAAGTAGTCTGCACTGTACCTAATCATTGTGATCATTCACGCTTGGTCAGCAATGAGACCTTTGCACCGATTAGCTATCATCGTACCGTACTTCACTGAATATTCCTGCATTCTCTGTCTGCTCAGAGCAAGAGTGCGGATAGCGCTGTTAAGACTGCGTTCGATTCAACCTCTAACGCGAAACGTGCTTGCTGGATCACGCCTAATTCCTTTTAAATTTACTGCTGAACTTGCCTCACTTTAAGTTTACTTGACTTTACCTGTTTGATGTTGAGTCATGAATCTGAAAATTCATGATTATAACCTATTTAAGAGCCAGTAGCTCGTTTTCGTCTTTTCTTTGTGTTAGGAATATGGTACCATAAGTAGGCGCACAGGTATTGAATATATGGAATTGAATCCTTGATAAATAGGGCAATCCGCCATGACCAAATGCATAATTCCACTTTATTTAGACCATTTTACATTCAGTCTATGCAAATTATTGATTAAATAGATAAATTTTGGGATATTTAGGCGCTTCTTTCTTTTTGATATGTAGCTATTGGCCTGATTTAGGTACATATGGATCTGGTGAAGAAGATGAAAACAAATTTAGCGGCAGCTCTGGCGACGAATCTGACAAACCGACCTCTTCCAGCGTTTTGGAGAGATCAGAGTTCATGAAGTTGGCAGAGAGAGAAGTGAACAGCTGTTTAGCTAGCGCACTTGAAAATTTCGCGGAACAAGAATCAGAATAGCCCGTTTTCTCAGCAGGGAAACCGACAACACCTGCGGGTTTGACTAAAGTAAAGGAGGAAGTGGAAGAAACAAGAAGCCGAAAGAGTGCCAGCTGCTCAGTTAACTGAACCAACCATGGGTAACTCATTTTGTCAGCTGTTTTTGTGCAACTTTAATCAGCATCCCTTTGCGAAGTTTCTTATGAAGTTACGCGTACTTATTGTCAGCAATATGGGGAGATTGAAAAGATCATATCTGTTTTGAAGATATTGTTTGCCCCGATAGAGTTCAGATTCAGATATTCGAGATTATCTTGGTGTGAAGCCGTTACTTCTCCTTATCGAGAAGTCAGTGCCGGGATGTTTTGGCCACCGTTTTCAAATGCTTACAGAAAGGAAGGCGAAACAGCTACTGTTTGCACAGCCTACCGGCCGAAGACCCGGAGGACGACCGAGAATGACCTCAGACAATTTTCTCGACGGTCTCTCCTCCAAACTCAAGTTTCCTTGTGCAGAAGTTCAGATACGCACAGGTATGTATCAGTTCTTGTATTTCCACGATGCAAATTATCGCAGGCTGATTTTCCGCCATTTATTTCTATGGAAGTTTATCGTGATATCGAATCTACCGGTTTAGGCGCCGAATGTTACTTGTGAAAGCGGAGAGGTGATGATGCAACTAACTAATTTTCTTTTTTGTATAAACAGACATAATAAAAGTTATGACGATTGTAATTTTAAGTAAAATGATTTTTCTTATTTTCTCGTGCCGCCAACCATGGAATCAGAAGACCTCTCACCTTCAAATAAACTAAATTTTCAATGTTTTTAACTTCTAATGACTTTCGTTACTGTGTTAAATGTTTTAGCGAAATGGTGTGGTATTACAGTAGCATAGTCGTATGCTTTGAACTCCAGATATGTCTCGTTCGCATCCGCAGAATAAGCAATCTTTGTCTTAACCGCAAATTTTCTTTAACTAGTATTTCATTCCACGTTTGTTTTGGTGCAACCAGCTGGGAAACGAGCAGTAATTTGGCTTTCCAACAGCAGGGACAGCTTGATGTTCTAGTGTAGTCATACCAAAATGGGTGAGATGTGTGTTCACGCTATCCAATGCTAGCGCTTTTTGCTGTGATTCGTCTGATAGTTTTCTGTTCCGTGCGATAATCATCACAAAGTCAAACCCCGAAAAAGATGAAACAGACCGCCATTTTACATTGACGTTCATGACCTGAAAATGTGGGAGCAGCTATCATTGTTGGATTTAAGTTCTCCGCAAATGCTGCAAGGACTAAGCAAACAAATATCGTGCGGTTGTAACTATCTGAAGGAAGTTTTGCCGTATATTGACTGTACGCCTGGTAACAGCCGAAACAGAAAAGACTTTCAATACAGAACAGGGAATTTAGCTATAAACGGATTTCTGTATATAAACTTAGAACTTCTGTTTAAATTTCATTTTACTACTGCTCTTAGATGCACTAAAGGCTAATGGCAGTGGACCTGCGTGCAAATATGTGGTTGAATGGCATTGAACATGGTATCAAATCAAACAGAACTGTCAAAACCGACGTTATACTGGAGACTAGGAATTTTGACTTATCGTTGAACACAAAATATTTGCAGAAGGCGTATATTTCACTGTCTCATTGCTATGCCAGAGCATTTGTTGCTGTGCCTATGATGTCATGAAAAGTGCGTCTTAGAAAATTTCTCGTTGTATCAGCGTTCCATCAGAAATCTATCTGTTTGCTATGGCGCATAAAGACAATTGAGGGGAAGAAAATCACATCGATTTATTCATCACGAAGGAAGTTTGCGTAATTACATTTAATGGACTGCATTTTCTGAACTTCAGTTGTTTCACAAAATTTTCAGAAATGTTCTTGTCATGAGTTATAATGCAGCATGAATGACTGCATCTTTCCTTTGTGTTTAATGTAATTTGTGCAACGAGTATGCATCTTCAGTGAATATTTACTGAAAACAGTAGATGATTCAAAACGAAAACTGGTGTGTAAATTATTTAATATTTCTAAATGCATTTAAATGATGTCCAATTGCTAAGGGATTTCCTTCCCTGACTACCATAATGCGTATATTGAGTAAAAAGCTTTCTTCCTGTTAGCCTAACTGACAAAGTATATACTGTTTACATTAGAAGTAATGATACGGGATTGAAACGGCGAAAATGCACAGTGTAGAGAAGGAAAATATGTTTCACGTTATACCGGCAGCTTCACTGCACCGCCCCTTTGCTTCTAGATGCCTAAGGGGAACATTTAAGCAGCCGTGGCTCCATGATATGTAGGCTTTTACAGTGCATAGAACGCAGGGTCGCTTCTCAACCTTGGGTTGAACAAAAGTATTTTCAACCAAAGAATATTGCCGCGATCCGTAGACGAATGAGTGGCAAAATATAGCCCTGAGGTTCTCGATATCGCGCTGAATATATCACGTTAGAATTATTTACTTCAACCGGAAAGGCGCACTGACAAGGAAGGCAGTATACAGTACGAAACAATATGGTACAGGTGTACATGCTTCCAGAGAGGGATCTTTCCTTCCGTGATGAAGTAACTGGTACTTCGTTACAAAAGCATTGAGAAGCTATGAACCAATGGATATCTCAAACCCGGACTATCTGATTATGAAACAGTTTAGAATGATAATCCCATCAAACAAGTGTATATTTGGCAACTGATAGTATCATTTCTTTAGAAGTTGATCAACGTGGAGATCCAAAATAATTCCGTTTTGGTTTGCTGTCAAACTAACCAGTTTCTCAATTTTGTAATGAATTCTATCAATTTCGAGTACGAAATATCATTGGCCCAACATATGCAGAGTCCCGATATGTCAAGTTAGCACCTTAAAGATTCAGTGGAGATTATGTTCCAGCGCAGTTCACACTTATATGCAATTTTGCACTTGAATCATTGACCGCTTAATGTTGCTCGGATTAAGTAAAGTTTGCGATGGCATGAAGATTTTAGCAAGCATGCTTACCGTAAAAATATAGAAGAGAAAAGGCGAATTAAGCTCGAAATACGTTACTGGTTGTACTCAGTGTATACTAGTTGGAAAACAGTTGCTCACAGCACGTAAATGACACCAATGACGATGTTCAGCTCAGGCTTCCGTGAAAGACAGATCTTCGGATTAGTAAGATGAAATAACGGTGATTGGAGAACCGTTGTTCATTAACTTAGGATTTGAGGATGACTTGAAGCTCAATGGGACCACAGACGCCCGGCCGATTTTCACGAGTTATTGCTTAAGCCTTTTCTAAGACCGAAAATAATTCCATATAACTAAGAATTTTCGGACCTTTCCGTGTTTCAGAAGCTGGCAGAGAATTATTGAAAAGCTTTCCAACAGCGTAAAGCATAAATCATTCGAATCGACTGTCGAAGATTCAAGAACACACAAATACGCTCTGAATTTCTTTAATTATTGCAATTGTGGATTTCATGCTCGTAATTCTCACTCCATTTTCCTTTATCCTAAAATAAATGTTATTTTCAGAAAACTTCTTGTCCTTCTTATACCATTTTTGCGCTAAATTGCTTTGTTCAAATTTGAATCCTGACAACCGTGTCACATTAAGAATGCAGAGGCAGTTTTGATGTATTGGTTAGCTGTCAATTTCTATCCTTGGCATAAACGGTAATGAAAGTCTAACAGATATGCGACTTAAATGAAAAACTTTAAGTTGGCATATATTTCAAAACTTCTACCAGTTACAACTTAAGCAATCAGGTTTTAGGCACGGTTTATGTAGTCATTTATATTAATTTCTGACTATCTGCTATGCAATGTGACAAGCTGAAACTGATCTTCTACATGATTTTGTTCTGAAATATTTGCGAAGATGTATAATTTCTGCTTAAAAGAGTCATCGTCTGTTGAATCACGTCATGATTCGATGTCTTTTCTCTAGAATTAAGCTAGTTCTTGTGGCTGATTTGACGCTCCTGAAGCCTAACCTTACTAAACTACAATTGCAGCATCTAGGAACAACAGCCACATAAAACTCAACCTCAACTTTGGATTATGATCTTCTCTGAAGTCAATTCCAAAAACGATACTGGCATATCATTACCTATAAACTTGCCGTATAAAGCTGCATAGAATATTCTACGATTTGCCCTTACTTCAGCTGATTGTATATTACTGTTCGGTTCAAAATTACATGGTAATCTTGAGCTTATTGGCCATTATCTTCATCTCAAAAATGTTTTTGTGATGCGATGATTCTTTGGAAGGGCAAAATGCAATGGGCCCTGTACTGATCATAGTCGTAAGAGCCTGTGATAAGCTCAGAGTAAGTTGACGAAAGGTAATCTGGTAATCAAGGGTTCGGATCTTCATGAAACTAGAATGAACTTCTCAGTGAATAGTATGTTTTAATTACAGGCACAGAGCAGGTTCTAGCCGACATTTGCATTAATCCTCAAGGGAAATACTTTGAATTTTCTGTGTTACTGCTAACTTTTTAAGTATCAGATTGTAATACACTGATAGAGCGTCAACAGAAATAACAGCAATATGGTTTACATCTTATGCTGATCACTATAATCAGAGTACCATCGTGAATTGAAGGCGTGGAAGTAATCACATCAGGCATAATTGGCTTGGCTCTCGTTCAATCTGGCATGAACACACAAGAGTGTCACGTTTTTCTTAGTATTCATAAGTCAGTGACTCATTTCTAAACTAGTTACACTGAAACAACGTGTAAAAATTCCTTGCTCGAGTGAATTTGTACTTTTGAGACCCTATTATAATTCATACCCGACATCTCCAAACTATATGTCGACTGCTTTTCATTGTGGGACTGCACGCTATATGGCACCTGTAAACTAAGATAGTTTTGAAGAACTTAATTTTTCTGACATCAGCTATTTGTTCTTGTAAAGATTTTATATTCTCAATTTTTGGTATAGCTAACTTCACAAGCCGATTATGAAATACCTCGACCAACAATTGCGTATGCCCTATCTTGGCTGACGAAAATGCTACAATATTTCAGACATACATTGGCGCAAAGCCTACATCACCAATTATAACTTTATTAATAATTACCTTATCATTGCTATGGCGTGATAAACTTACTAAAGGTATATATTAAATAAGAAAGTCGTAGTTAAAAGGATGAAAAATACACAGCAATTAAGCGAAGCTTGCTGAACCCCCCACCTGTGTTTCTTCAACAGTACAAATTGACAGCGTTCAGAACAAGCATTGTAGTTACAAGTAACATTTCAGCAGATAATTCTTTACTTCACTTGCTGTTATTTACGACATTTTCTTTTGTGACATAAAATGAAATTCACTTTAGCAAACAAATCAAATTGATAGAGCGAAAAAAATGAATTTTCATCAAAAGATTTTTACGCCTAACGAAGAGAGCAATTTTTTCAAGAATTATACTCCACTCTTCAAACAAGTGTGCATTTACTTCCGCCACAGAAAGAAATGCATCAAAGTAAAAAGAATGTAGTTCATTACAAACTTGCATGAATATCAATCGATCGATATACCAAACGATAACTCCGCCTAGATTTCTTGGTATGTCTTTTCACAATTTTGTGCACTCATGTTCCTCTAGCTTACATTTTTCACTTTTCGAACCTTTATATGCTAAGCATGGTCAAACTACTACATCAGTGGTTAGCCAGAAACAGTGATGCATAAAAAAACATAACTTCGTTAAAGGCGTGGCTACCACTAAGCTGCATCTGATTGGCTAACTGCAAACATGGCGTTCTGTTGTGCACCACAATAAGAAAATAACTTAATAAGCATTAAAACAAAAGGTTTAGCGCTCCATAAGTGGCACCTAACCATCCTTACCTGTTGTAATACAATATGCATATGATAATATGAAAATTTATTTTTAGTTTTGACTGTTTCTGTCAGTTTTCCCCTGTGGGTATGGCTAAACCGTCGATTAAAGAAACTATTACTAGTGCTGCTAGCGGTGAAAGTGGAAACAGCGTCTCGATTTCTGAAACTGATGAAGCTTTCGATAGGGTAGAATGTTTTTCGACGATTTTTTGTCTGTAATATGTCCGTTTGTTTTTTTTCAGTTGATAGGCGATATTGAAAAGCGGTTGAAGAAGGAATCAGAAGAAGTGAAAACGAATATTATAAGGGCGTTGAGGTTACGTTACCAGGAGATGCGAAAGTTGCCCATTTTGCAACAGATGAAAGAGTTGTTCGAATCCTCAGATCAACGGGCTGTTCAGCAGGAAATCATCATCTATACAGTTATTAATGAGGTCATTGAACGCATGGATAAGTTGAAGCGCAAGTTTCAACTTCCGACGGTAAATACCGTTGGCTCGACACGACAACGGAGACATGTGCAGCGGGCGATGCATAGACTTCAGCGGTACCTCTCGGTATGCTGCGTACTTATCTTTGTATTTAAAGAATCTGTTGCATTTTTTACCGTAATCGATGTATGGTTATTATTGATTTTATTGGCGTTTTTTTATTTTATGGTAATCAGTCTAAGAATTAGATCAGCTTCATCCAGATTACTGATATCCGTACCTTAGGTAATAATTGACGGAGTTACGCTTTGACCCAAATATTTTTTTCCAGTCGGGTGTGGAGGGGGGGGGCATTGTGCTTTTCTGTCATCGTTGTTTCACAGATTAAGCTCCATTTGGGTTGGTGATCTTTGTTCTTTTCACATGACAGGTTGACCTTAACAGTATGAGAAAACTGATTACTTCTGATATTAAGTACTGCGTCGTAACACCGCTTTCGGATTCATTTCCTTTTAAGTGCAGTTTTTACGAGTACCATAGTTCCAAAGAAGAATACGTAATATTTTATATTTGTGCTTCATCATGATGTGCGAATCATTGCTTTCTAGTAGTGGTTTTGTCTTCGCTTAGTTCACGCAAGATTAGAGTAATAATAGTATCTTGTGCATAAGTACATTGTTTCATGACGTATCAGAGCATCATCATGCTTCTGCTTGCTTTGAGGATTCTATCTTGATTCAGCCGTGGCAATTCTGTCATTAACTCTATGGATGCTAGTTATGGCATTTATGTAGATTTTTCCCTGTAGCATCCTCATCATTATGATGATGATCAAGAACGATGTTTCGGTAGCTGCATATAAATGCTACTACGCACACATCAGAAACATGGGTTCGTACGCCGAAGTATGTTAGTTGGCATACAGCTCCTCTAAAGCCAGATTTTGCAACTTAATGCATCACCCGTTTCTTGCTAGTTATAAATTCCTAGGCTCCAATAACCCTGTCATGTTTCTGGTGTGTTTTTATTCGTTCTTACTACTCACCCGTTATCATTATCATATATACTTCCACACCGAGTTCACATATATGTACTGTGAAGGCATAATGTCACATGATTTACATGGTACCTCGTAAAGACGGTCTTTCTTTGATAGCGTTCCGAATTATTATGACAGTTTACTGCGATTTTTCCCTTAAAAGTATACTGGAATATCGGGTCGAAAATTATTTTATTTTACAAATAGTTTCAAAATGTTGCACAAAATACCAGGGTTCTGCTGTACGTGTCAGCCCACTTTAGGTTGGTGGGAGTCAGATCCAGTCGAAAACAGGATCGTTTTACGCAGTTCGCTGTGTTTATGAAATTAAAATTTTCTTGCCCTCGATTTCTTTTTACAACTAGAAATATCTTCGAAACTTTATGTACTGAAGCAACTAACAGTTTTAATTACTACACTTACTACCGACGCAAATGGCTAACCAATTTTTTGCATTAATTACAATTTGAAAATATACACAGCATATGAATACTTGAAAACCACCCATGTATCTAGCAACGTAACCTTAGGCTGTATGCTGTTCATTGTTTTCTTTATCGACAACCGGGGTTGGCCCAGCTGATGGAGCGTCTTACTCAGAATCGAGAAAACCCGGGTTTGAGTCCCAATCACGCCACTCACCTTTCTTTCTTCAAAGGTTGGTATCAGTACCACTCTGTGAAAAGAAAACAGAAAACTGCACAATACGCTTGCCACTTATCAGCTGTCGACTCTGACTTAAAAATAAGGCCCTCGATTGATGATGGCATAGAAATAGAGATTAGCGCCCCTCCATAGCTTTATGGAAAGAAGGGCGCCAAAAATGACCTCATCATAATAACGCAAGGAAGACTGGCCTTCCAACGGTTACACACTTTGCTTTCCATTTCCTGCATTTTTCATGAACACCTTTCGGGATTAAATTTCGACAGCATCATGGAGATTTTAGTTTGTTGGATCTAAAGCAGTTAGAGTCAAATTTTGCCCGGTTAGTTTTGTCTCCAGACATGAATCTTAACTGATTGGTTGTTGCGCTATGGAGCAAATTTTTCTTCCAGTTCTCTTGAACATTGAAATCTACTTCACGTCAACAATCATTTGCACTTGGTCGACGGGGTTCTTGCACCAGGCAGAATTTCCTCTGGTTGATTGACTTTAAATGTCATATCTCCATGTAGAAAGGCATACGTTGTGTGCAGTGGAGCAATCAAACTGCAGTGTGCATCGCAGCCGCCATTGGCTTTCATGCAAGAAAGCACATTTGCTGACCGAAGATAGCTCGAGTGGGTTACAGTCAGTTATCACTATGGTGAGTAGCTTCCCGCTTACTTTCCCA